GAACATGTAGTTTCTTAATCTGTATTTTTAACTCCCTCTCCAGGTGATCCTGTTGGGCCACACTAAGATAGACACTATGGACACACTGCCACAGATGGCATGTGCAGATGGGGGAGGGAGGTGGGAAGGAGAGGGGACACAGTTGAACAACAGAGTGTCCCAAGATTGTAAAACATTTATAACCTAATTTCTTCTGTCTCAAAATAGTGAGGGGTGAAATGAGGGCCCATCTCTGGGGTAAACATTCTGGATGGATGAGGATATCCTGGATTTCCTGGAAGGTTATTCATTCAAAGGGCCCCAGAAAACTCACCCTGGAGAAGCTGACAGGGGAGTAAGGAAGTTTTCCTAAGGGGCTCTCCCAGGGAGGATGAAAAAGTGAGATTTAGCAAAAATTCCACTTTCTTCATGGCGGTGTAGCTCTAAACAATCACGAGGTGGAAACTGTGTTCTAAGTTGAGTTTTCATTCGCTCTCGGGACAAATAAAGGTAACAAAAGTGGCATCGACATCAAATCAAACCAGAGGTGTTCTACTTCTGCTGTCGTTTGATCCCCTAGATTTCTCCCCAGGGAGCCCAGTGTGAGACACCACAGCTCCCATAGCAATGGGTTGCCCTAGTGCAGGCAGCCTGGACTCCAGGAGCTGGGAGCTTTCTTCAGTATAAAGGGCAGGGTATACACATGATAGATTGATTTTTAAAAAATGATAATAACCCTTCTTTTTGTGAAACAACAAATGTGCAGAAAAGTGCATAAAACATAAATGTACAGAAACCCCATTCTTGTAAAACAGATACCTATGTGCCCTCACAAAGGTCAAGAAATAGAAACTTACCAGAACCCCGCAAGCCTACCAGCCAGCCATGTCGACTTTTCAGATATTTCATAGATCAGACCTGCTCTCTCCCTTGAGCTGTGATCACCCTCTGGGCTTTTATGTAATGCCTTCCTTGTTTTTAAAAAATACGTTTGGCACCTAAATATGCATACCTAAGATGTATTGTTAATTTTGCCTTTTGAGAAACTTCATGTAAATGGAATATGACATGTCTATTCTGATGCATGTAAATTTTTTCATTTACCATGATGACCTTAAGATTCATCCACATTGTGTAGCAAATTCAATCATTTTTATTGCTGTATAGTAGTTTATTTTAGGAATATTCTACAATTGCTTGTGCTACTTTTGATGGACATTTGATTTCTTTCCAGTTTGGGCTATTTTGAAATATATAAATATTTTACCATCTTGGGCACACTCTCTTCAACCGTGTTTTTTTCTCACGTATTATGTATCCTAGTGTTCCATAAGCACCCATTTTTTCTAGGGCGTGTATCTAGGAGTGGATTTTTTGAGTCATAGAGTGATTTTAAAAAGACTTTAAAATAGAAACTATAAACATATGCAATAATAGAAAACTTCAAAAATTTAAAACATTTTGTTGATCTCTCATTGATTGTCTTTCTTTTCTTTGTTCCCCAGGAATGCTCTAATCTAATGTCATGTGTCGTATCATTCCCCCTTAAATACTTTAATATGTATCAGTAACAGATAAGAATTTAAAAAGACTATAGCCACCATACCATTGTACCCAACAAAATGAACAGTAATCCTGTAGTATATCAGTGTTCTCCAGAGAAACAGAACCAATAGGGTGTTGGCTCATGTGATTATGGAGACTGAGGATTTGGAAGTGAAAAGGGTGGAAAAGACTTCTTTGTGATTAAGTAGTAATTCTGTTAACTGTTCTGAGAACCTGTCCTTTCAGAAGAACAGAATATTGACAGGTTACCAAGACAAGAGTAGCTCCAGAAGGCCCTGACCAAGATGCTGGGGTCAACACCCTTTCTGTCAAGATTTATTTTGCTAACTGGACTTCTATTCACATTACCCTCCCAATGGCTGCCTCACCAGTCCCATAGGAAGAAGACTATTAGTTCCTGAGTGTGGACTATAAAAATATGTCTGTGTTTCCAAGATCTAATATTAGTTCTTATTCTGTTCTCTTGTAAAGAGAGCGTTTATTCAATTGCTAATGATCAGAGGAATCTGCACATCACAAATACCAGGGATCTTTGTGAATAAATAGAGATTCTGGAGTTCTGCACCAGACGTTATTAATCAGACGCCTTGAGGCTGCAATGACCAAAGCCAGATTTAAAAAAAAATATCTCTCCAGGTGGTTCTGATGGGACAAGTTTAGTTGTAGATCAAGATTTGGGAAACAGTTACCTAGATGTTCTTAGGAGCTGGGAGAGGCATGAGATGGGAATGTGAGGAAAAAAACCAGTTGAACAATCCAGGTGTCCCAAGATTGTGAAACACTTACACAGACTTTTGCTTATCTAGTAGCAGTGGGAACTGTTGGGGGGGAATAGATACAGGAGAGATCTCCAGACCCTCCCTTCTCTGGAATGTACATTCTAGAATGAAGGGGAATTTCTGGATTTAAAAAGCAAAGTTCCTTGTTCAGATGCACTTAGACATTCCCTCTGCGTGAGCTCACGGAAAATAACCAAGCTCCTAGGGGGTCTCTCCCAGTGAGGTCATAGAACTGAGGGTGAAGCAGGACTTCCATTTCCCTGCTGTGTGCTGTCCCAGTCACAAGGTGGAGCCTGCTTTCCAATGAGTTTGTTTTCATCAGCACTTGAGACCAATAGAAGGACCCCAAAGCTGGTCATGCCAGGCTTGCTTACTGATGCCGCCTTTTGACTCTTTCAGCTTTCCCTGTCCTCATAAGTCCAGATTTAGAGAACTGCAGTGTCTATATGAATGGGTTGCCCTACTTCAAGCAGCCTGAATCCAGAAGCTATGAAGCTTTCCTGGTATAAAGGAAAAGGCACCTAAATTTGATTGATAGTTTTTTTAACTTTTAAAATGTGGAATATAACAGACCTAAGGGGGAAAAAAAGAATAGAAGATAAACATGAATATCAATACGTTTTTATTAAAGAAACACCTATGGACCCCCAGCAATTCAAGACAGAGATCACTGTCAGCATTCCACAAGGCACCAGTCACAGAGCACTTTTCCCCATCATCTTCTTTCCTTCCGTCCAACTATGACCGCTGTCTGGACTATTACAGTAATCAGTTCATCACTTCCCTTTATAGTTTTACTACATAGTTTTGTATCCCTAAACTGTACAGTTTAATTTTGTCAACCAAAATTATTTTTAATATAAATGGAATCAAGCTGTACATACTCTGTCTTCTATTATTTCCTCATCACGATATCTGAGATTCATCCACGTAGATGTAGCTTTTTAAAAAAGTTTATTGCTGAATAATAATTTACTGTCTGAATATCCTACAATTTTTTCATTCTATTGTTGATGAACTTTGGGCTTTACAGTTCTTTACAGTTTGGGCTACCACAAATAATTCTGCAATGAACATTTGTGAAATCATATGCTGCTGAACATGAATATATATAATTCAAGGTATGTGGGATTGCTGGGTATAAGACAGCCTTTAAAAAAAAAGTCTTAACAGGAATTTCAAGAATACACAAAACAAAAGAAAATAGTATAATAAATCACTAGCTTCACTACTTATAAATAGTTGGCCAAGGTTATTGCATTTTTCTTCCCCTTTCTTTTTTCTACTCTGGAATGTTTTAAAGCAAGTTTCAAACATTCCATCATAAATTGCTTCAGTTTGTGTCTCTAACAGATAAGGGCTTTAAAAACAATAGTCCCAATACCACTACTACACCCAAACAAACTTACAGTAATTTCTTGATTGCATTGATCTTTCCTGGGCAGCCTGATCAGGCTTCTATATATGCACCAGGAAAAGGTGTCTTCCTAAGAGAGATTAGCAATGGGCCTTTAACCCTAGCAATAGATAAGAGCAGGCAAGTCAACTAAATTATGTTATCTTCTAATTTACTCTACAGATAAACCCACACACACACAAAGGGACATGTGTGTGCACAGTTATGCATTGGTAACAGCACAAGATTAGAAACAATTTAAATGTTCGTTAATATGTGACTGATTAAATAAATTCTGTTGTATCCACCCAATGGAATACAATGCAAGTATTACAAAGAATGAGGAAGCTGGTTACGTACCGATGAGAGACAACTGTTGCATCTTATTGCTTAGAATTTACTCATGTGTAGCTGGAATGATGGCTGAGAAAGTATTGTTTTAGGTGGATGAGTTTCCACCCACTTCTGTTAATGAAAGAAAGGGATGAACATTGAGTAGGAAGCTGTCAGTTCTTACCACATCCTACCCCTGTGTCTACTCAACATCCCTGCATACTCCTCCCCACAAACTGAAGTAGTCCCATCCTTCTCAAGGTTGACGGCCACAAAATTTTATTTTGGAGTTTCTGACTCAATAGTTTCTAGAAGTGTTTCTTTGTGGTGAGCAGTCCATAAACTTAAAAGAATCCTCAGCTTCCAGAGACCCAATATACAATGATGCAATGGGAAGTGGGCATCCACAGTGAAAACTCCCAATGAAGAAAAGAAAAAAGGAGAGGATGTAGCCAGCACTATTCTATTGCAATTAACCAAGGCCGGTGGGCAGGAATAGTAAGAACTCCCTGCCCTGCCAGTGGAGGAAGTTTCTTAGCCAATTGGAAGCACTGGTTCTCTATCTGCAGGATGTACACTGTCCTTCATGGCTCCTGGCTTTGCCCTCTTGCATTTCTTTCTTGTTCCTTATTTTCTATGGCCACGCCTTAGTTAGGCATTAAAGAGTATACATTTCTTGGGAACTGGAAAGCATTTCTAGGAGTCAAGGATGCAGATGAGATGGGTAAGCTGCTCTGCATTGGAATTGCAAAGACTTTAGCAGTGACAGGAGGGAAAGGGAGAAGAATGACTGAGTAAGGTAGTGGGGTGGGTGAAGGGCTTTTGAAAACAAGACTAATATTTATTTTGAGTTCTTTCTTTTGTCAGAACATCAGGAAAACATGTCATGCGCTGAAGGACAATTGGTGAGCGATTATTTGCAGAAAGCAAGGAAAAAAACCCAGTACTATTGTGGACTGATTTATTTCAAAACAAAGTCATCAGGCAACAGTTAGCCAGAGTACTTTAGCAGAAACCCCAAACCACAGGTGTTCATAAAATGTAAACCACGTGGGAATTTGTAAAAATTGTGGGCATGGGGGTGAGAGTTCACTGGATGTGGCCCAAGGCATGATAGAAGGGTCAGAGATAATTTTAGCTAGACACTGAAGGTTCTCACTTGACACCTGAGTGATATTATTGTTACTGATTCATTAATTCCACAACTATTTATTGAGACTCTGTCACATGTCAGGCACTATTTTACACTTGGGGTATGGAGATCCATCAGTGAACAGTACAGACCAAAATCCCTGCCCTCAGCTTACACTCTCATTACATGAAGGAAACCATACAAGCGCTATACACAGTTATACTGTTTCATGCCAATAAGTTTGGCAGTTTCGATGAAATGGCTAAATTCCTTGAAAGTCACAGTTTACCAAAACTGACAGAAGAGGAAATAGAAAATCTGAATAGTCCAATAACTCTTAAAGAAATTGAACTTGCCATTAAAACCTTCCCAGAAACAAAACCTGAGACCCAATAGGCTTCACTGGAGAATTTCTCTAAACATTTATAACAGATGTAACACCAGGGAATAGAATGAGAGGAGTCCCTTCCTGACTCCTTTCAGGAGGCCATTATAAGTTTGATGTAAAACCTGACAAGGACATTAGAGGAAAGCAAAATAACAGACTAATCATTGCATAAACATAACTGCAGAAATTCCAAACAATCTAGTGAGATTAATTTATAAATACGTAAAATATGTCATGACCAAGCTTGATTTATTCTAGGAATGCAGGGTAATTTAACATTCAAAAATTAATCAGTGTAATTTTGATGATATAAATAAGAAGATAAAAATAATATAATCATCCTTAATATATGCAGAAAATGCATTAGATACAATCCAATAACCATTCACAATTATAAAAAAAGAAAAGCTTTAATGAGGTAGAAAGAGTAAACTTGCGTAGTCTTATGAAAAATAGGTTTTAAATAAACGCTACAGGCAACATCGTATTTAATGATGAAATAATAAAGTTTTCCCCTTAATTGACTCTCTCAGCTAAGCTTTACAAATTCCCCATCACTCTTTCTTTTGTTTTATTTTCCCACCTCTGCTTACACCGGGTTATAGGCTGAGGTCCAAAACCCCAAAATGACAAGAATGCTACCCTTATGTCCTTCTTCCCCCCACATCAGGGGGCCCCAAAGCATTATTCAAGATGAGTGGCTCAGGATGATCCAAGGGAAATGAAGCTGCAACTGGGAGCATGGTAGGGGCAGGCAGATCTCAAAAATGTCCCCCAGACCTCCTCACATTGCCTGTAACTGGACTTCTGCAGGGGATGAAGAAGATTTGGTTATTGTGTCACTGGTCTGGGCTGAGTCCTCACTCAGGGCCCTCTCCAGACTGGCTGGCAGGGAGTGGATCAGTTTCTTTCGGAAGTCTCGACCCACGAAGACATAGAGTATTGGGTTGAGGCAGCTGTTGAAGAAGGCCAGGGAGCTCGTTAGGTTAATAAGGAGAATAATGATTTTGTGCTTACCTTCAAAATATATTTCTTTGATCCAGACTGTGCCAAGAAGGGCAAACAGTTGAAAGGGGAACCAACAGAGAAAGAAAGAAGCCACAACAGCAGTGAGGACCCGTAAGGGGTGGCTGGATTTAATCATGCCTTTTTTGTGCATCTTGGCAGCAATGAGGCCATAGCAGATTGCGACGATGGACATCGGCATACTGAAGCCAATGATAAACCGGATGATCCCTCTGACTGTCAACACGGTGACGGTTATCTTCCTCTTCTCATCAGTGGTGTTACCCCAGGATTCGAAGCTGAAAGTACAGAGTGTATTCCCTTTCCCATCACTTTTTGTAGTGAAGAAGAGGAAAATTTGTGAGGTGAGGATTAGAGCAAGAATCCAGGGTCCCATGATCAGTTTTGTAGCCAGACCTACAGTGCGGTGGTTTTGGGCCCAGATTGGATGCAGGACACAAATACAGCGGTCTAGAGCAATGAAAGCAATTAGGAAGACACTCCCAAACAGGTTGATGTCCACCACGATGTGAACTAACTTGCATAGGAACCAGCCAAAAGGCCATTGTTTTCCCATGGCCATTGAGACCATGAGGAAGGGAATGGTAGTAGTGAAAGAGAAGTCAGCTATGGCCAAGTTCAGGTAACAGAGGGTGGTGACTGTGCGTGCCATCCGGAATCCAGCCACCCAGATCACAAGCCCATTGCCCAGGATTCCGAGGACAAAAGTGATCCCAAGCACCACCAATGAGAGGATATTCACAACAGCGTAGCCAGGAGGCTGATGGGGCCTCACATTGGATCCATTCAGAGGGACGGAGAAGTTGGTTTCCATCTTGCTGACACCTGAAACATTTCAAAAATGACCATTTCTTAGCTGTGGAGCCATCTTACAGCATCCCTATTCATGGCCAACATCAACTTCCACTGTAGTTCCCACTCCAATCAGGATACCCACTGTACTGAACCTTGTGGCCAGTCATACTATAAAATTGATGCCCTGTTGGCTGTTCCTTAGGGAAAGGATAGTTCTGCATATTTCCATAATTAGTAATATGCATTCAACCTAACATGCTGATTACTTAACCAAGAGGATTACAAGGATCCTGTCCGCCAGCAGAATACTGAACTGAAGGTGCATAGACAACAGAAAATTGATGGCGGGCAGCTTCAGCAGAGTAAGGGAAGCACCAGACTCAGAGTGAGCAGGTTCACATCTTCTTCCACCCATGACTCAGTGCATGGACGCTGGCAAGCTGTGCAGCCTCTTTCAGCTCCAGGTTCTCCCAGACTCCCAGCTCCTGTCCTCCCCACTCTGAGGACCCTTGACCTATTGTTTGGTTAGTCTTTAAGTTAAAGTCTTAGAGTTCAGTTTGAGTTTAAAGTTGAAGAGGCTCTTTAACAGTTACTGGTAATGTGTAGTAATATGTTACATCTTGTGATTCTGTGCTAGAGGAAGTCATGAAGGGGGTTCTGTCTCTACCTTCAACCTTGTGTTTTTCATCGTCTCTCTTACGGTGCTCTCCTCTATCTGGGGGGCAAAGAATTTTCACCCATTGTACAGCTTTAGCATTCTGTGGGACAAGAGTATGAGAGTAGTAAGTTTTGTTAATAATATTGGTGGGGCTCTTATTAGAGACCATGCATTGTGTTAATTGCTATATACAGGGATTCAGTTTGATCTACATAACAACTCTATAATGTTCATTATTTCTGGTTTTTATAAGAATAAATTCATACTTGTTCAGAGCAGTTATGAAAACCGCCAAAGGTCATTTAAATAGTTGGTGGTAGAGGAAGGACTTCAATCCTGCTTGATCTGACTTCCAAGTCTTTTTCTCCACTACACAACTGTGTATTGCTGGTTGTGAGCAATGTTCCTGGTTGCCCACCCAACATCCATTCCCTTATTCTTCTCTGCTACCAAACCACAGTTTTGTTACTCACCCATCAGGGAAGATGTCCCTTGCTCCATCTTTGGAGGCAAATCGTGATTTGTCTCACTAGTAGCTGGAATCTCCTTTGCTTTGCAAGAGATTGTTTTAGCAATGGGCACATGACTAAATCCTGGACAATAACACTATGGGAAGATATCCTGGGGAGATTCTGGAATAGATTACTTTGCTCTTAAGAATGAGAATCCAAAACATTGTAGTGTCTGCCTCTGGATCAGGTCACATCTATAACTATTGCATCCAAATTCAACCCAGAGGTCTATGTGACCCCCATGTCCATGCCACTTGCCCAAATTTCCTCATACTGTGGTCTTTTAGCTATGTCGAAACATCCAGGGTGGTTGTTAAAATGCACATTCATGAACCTCACCCTAAAATCTCTTTGGACAAAATCTAGGGTGATTTTCTATGGCCTCAAAAATTTGGGAATCATCTTACCCTAGGGTATTCTGCCTCCTTAAGAGAAATAGCTGTTACTGAGCACGTGCTCAAATTTAATAGCCATAAATCTGTTCTAGGGTATCCATTATCTTCCATCTTTTTTTAAAAAGATTTTTTAATTTTTTACTTTTTCTCTGCAAAGCTCCCCGGTACATGGTTGCATATTCTTGTATATAGTTGTGGGTCCTTCTAGTTGTGGCATGTGGGACACCACCTCAGCATGGCTTGATGAGTGGTGCCATGTCCGTGCCCAGAATCCGAACTGACAAAACCCTGAGCCACCGCAGCAGAGCACGCAAACTTAACCACTTGGCCATGGAGCCTGCCCGTCGTCCATCTTTTATGAGGGGGAAACCATGTCCCAGGGGTTTCAGTAGTTTGTTCAACATCAAGCCCAGCCAGTCAGTGGAGGCAGCAAGCTTTGAAAACCAGGTTTAACCAATTCTAGAGCCACTGTCTTTGCTTCTCTAAAGCGCTGCCTTTTCAAGGGGTTCCCCCAAGATTACGTGGAGATGATCACAATCCAGGATGTTGATTTGCCTCCCTCCCTCCCTCCTCTTTTTTCCCTTCCTTTTCTTTCTGCCTGTCTTCACCAGTCACTTCCACCAAAGTCTTCTATGGGACCTTCTTGATGTAGTGCAGGATTTTTCAACCTCAGTACCATTGACGTTTGAAGCTAACCATCCTTTGTTGTTGGGGATCATCCCTTAAACTGTAGGATGTTTGGCAGCATCCCTGGCCTCTATCTACCAGATGCCAGTAGTACCCCCTCGCTCCAGTCGTGACAACCAAAAGTGTCTACAGACACTGTCAAATGTCCCCTGGAGGGCTTTCCCTCACCCCCAGTTGAGAGTCACTGTTACAGTGTAAGGAGTGCTGGGCTCTGGAGTTTGGTCAATCTGTATTCTAATCTCATCTCTGACACCTGCCCACTGGGTTCTTGGTCAGTGACATCTCTTCCAACTTCACTTTCCTCCTCTGCAGAATGGGGGTGATTTTGTGGTGAAGACTGAGGTTTAGGTGAGGATTAATGAGAACAGACATGGAAATCTTTTAGGCAGGACCGAATGACTCTTTAACAAATAGGAACTCTCGATCCTCACCAGGCTCTGTGCCTTGTCCTGGGGCCACGCATTATAGAAGCTCAAGTTCAGGTCAAGAACAATGCTTGAAACAGTAGTAGTACTACGTATGAACCTTTTCCATATGCCAAGAGCTTCTCTTCCACCTCATCACGACTCATCTCATAAGGTCCCTGAGGTTTGCACGTGTTAATATGCGTAAAGCATCGAGCATACTCTGCAGCATTGTAAATATGGAATAATATTAGTTACACAATTAGTATGGCCATTGTACAGAAGAGGAAGTTAAGACTTCAGCAGGTTATATTCATTGTTTAATGCCCCCAGTGAGGAAGAGGTAGAGCCAGAATTTGAGATCAATCAGACCGATTCCACCAGAATTGTGCTCTTAACTCTCTCCCACCCCATACCTCCTCAACTGAGTCTGTTTCTCTCCACTCGCCCACTGAACACCCTAGAAGGTGCTCAGAAGATAGGATGCACTCACTAATCTCTAAATCATTGCTTTAAAAATTTTTATACACAAGGAAAGACGATTGTGCAATGACAGCTGGGGAAAGGACAGTAGGACAAAGTTGTAAAATTATGGGCCCATCCTTGTTGCAGCACTGGGGAGAGAACCTGTGACCATACATGACACTCGCATGGACTATGGTGGCTGCTATTTGGTGAACCCCAAATATGTGCCAGTCACTGTACATTTTATTATCTCCAATTACAACATCGTTGTTTTCGCATAAGTATCGTCATTGTGTGTTACAAGAGGAAACCATGACTCTCACAAGGGAAGTGGGTTGCCCAATGTCACAATTATTAAGGGGCTCTCTGGATTTACGACCACAGATTTCAGATGGAAACTCAGCACTTCCTTGTTAGCTGATCCTCTTCTCCGGCATGTTTGCATTTCCATGCTTCGAAATAATGCTTTCAGTTCTGCTTTCTCCTCAGACTTCCTAACTTCTTCTCCCATCCTGACTCAGCTCATGCCCCTACCTCGTATTTTAATGAGAAAATCATAACAATTAGTTGTGAACTTCTTAGCCTTCTCTCACCCAAACCGTCCAATCTATCTGCACCTGTTACAGTGAATAAAGAGTTCTTGGTCATTCCAAAGGCTGCCCCCTCCCCATGTTTGCTCTGGATCCCTCTCTCTCTCATCTTCCCAAGAATTTTCCTCCAAGCATTCCTTTTCTTTTCTGCCAAAATTCTTCCAGGATTTTCTTTCCACTCGATCATTCTCACTGTCACATAAACGTTATCATATCTCCTCCCTTCAAAAGGAAGCCATCCTTGGCCTTTATTCGTTTCTGGCTTCGGCTCTATTTCTCCAAGAGAATCCTTTCTGTGAAGAAGATTCACAGCCAAACTTTAGAAGGGAGTGTCTCCACTTCTTAACCTCATATTTTTCTCCTAAACACACTCGACATTGACTTTGATTCTCAGCACTCCACGGAATGTGCTCTCCTTAAGGATGCTCATGGCCTCTATGCTGCCTCCAGTTCTTATCCTGATATGTCAGTGACATAGCACCCACTTGACCCCTTCCTCCTTCTTGAGACAGATTTTTCTTATGCTTTGAGATGATAAAATGTACACACAACACAATTTTGGTTGTTTTTATAGCGTATTTGGTCACCTCTCCTCAATCCAGTTCCTAGCTTTATTGCCTCCAAATTTAACTCTAAATTTTGAGGCATCCTAGGGCTTGTAACTGCCCCCCCATCCTCTATACAATCTCATGGGTTGTAACATCATACTGATAACTTCTGATCTAAACCATCAGCCTTGGCTTCTCCCCAGAGCTCTAGCCTGGTATAACCAACTGAATTCTTGACATCTCCCCACGGGAATCCCAGAGTCACCCCAAACCTAACATTGCCCAAAACAAACTCTAAATTGTTCCATCCTCCCAAGTCTGCCTCTCTCCCGGTATCTGTATCTATTTGGAGCTTAAACATTCAGTTGTTAAAGCTCCAAATCTGAAACTCACCCTCGATTTTCCTTTCCCTCACCACCCCGTCCAATCTGAGCCTGTTGATTCTATCTACAGAGCAACTGAATCCACACCCGGAATTGTGTCGATCACCATCTCCCTTATCCATGGCCTCATCTGACCTGCATATTTGCACTAACCTTGCAAATAGCTTGTTCCTGCTCCTGATGCTGCCCCCTCCCCCCCATGCTTTCTGACAGAAGCCAAATGGTCTTTCAAAAACACAAATCAGATCCTGACATTATTCTGCTCAACACCCTCAATGGCTTCCAAATTCCTAATTCAAGTTTGCTAAGCATTCCTGGATCCGCCCAGTCTGTTCCTCATACCTCACACATCCACTCTCCCCTCACATACTGTGCTCCATCCACTCTGAGTTCCTTCGATTCCTTGAACACGCCAAGCTCATTGCCATCTCAGGGCTTTTGTGTCCTCTGTTCCTCTGCCTACAATGCATTTCCTCTCAGGCTTCCCACATCTGGCTCTTTCTGAATATTCATATCTCATCTTAGATATTTCATCCTCAGAGAGGTCCAGCCTGACCCATAACACAAATCAGCTGCCCCCAAGCACAGGCCATCTCACCAGACACTTTTCTTGTTGGTTTATACATTCACTTATTTTCTGCTCTAAATACCATCCACATCGGGATATAAGCTCCACAAGACAATCAAGTTCTTTCAACACTACATCTCTAGAGTAATGCTGTCCAATAGACACATAAATGCGAGCCATCAAGGCAAGCCACAATGTGAGTTACATATATGTGACTTATAATTTTCTTTTACAAAGTAAAAGAAATTATTTTTAATAATATATTAATGAATTTTAATAACACATTTTATTTAACCTAACAGATCAAAAGGAATATCCTTTGAACATGGAACCAATATAAGAATTATCAATGAGATATTTTATATTCTTTTTTCATGCTAAGTCTTTGAAGATCCTAACTGCATTTTACACTTACAGCACATCTCAGGTCAATGGCCATAAGTGGCAAGTGCATATTATATTGGGTAGCCCAGCTCTAGAGTTTAGGAGGCATCGGCCACATAGGAGATGTCCAAATAATTTTTAAATTGTCAGCTCCCACCACCTTACCACCAGCTGAGATCCTTTTCCTGTGGCTGGTTCCTGGCTTCTTGCTGAGCAATGTAGGTGGAAGGGCTTCTGCAAATGGTTTATTGAAGGACAAGAGGGAGGGACAATGGAGCTGGAACCAATCAGGACAGAAACTCAGAATCTTGCAATTTCCAAAAAGCACCCTGGAGTTGTTGACAGCATAACTCTCCTTAGAAACTTAATGCCTGAACATTCCCCTCAGCTCCAACACTCTGGGGAGACAGGAGGTCAGTCCTCTGAATACCAAGGGTCAAAGAATCGGGTGTCCATGCCTTTTCTCCTTCAGAGATTCAGGAAAATGAAAGAAACAATTACTGAAGTGAGAAGAATTCGAGACAGGTAATAAAATACAGAGATGATGGTTAAACAAAAACTTTTTTCTCTACTCACATGACTCTCTGACACCAATGTGTGGGTTTTTTCTATGCCAAGCAATGCTCCAATTCCCTGTGGACCCCACCTGGGTGTCCTACAATTGAATTCAATTCTGACAGTATCTATCTGGAGCTAGCATCACATCCCACGAGTTAAAGGGCTCATCCCACAAGACTACCCCCACTACAGATGCCACTTGCAAGTCCCAGGTGGCTACCTACACTTCTGCCTGACCAGCTATAAGTCAGCGGTTCCTATGACCCCCTCCTCAGGTTCAATAATTTGCTAGAATGACTCACGGAACTCAGGAAAGCAATTTACTTATGTTTACCACTTTACTATATAAAAGATACAAGTCGAGAACAGTCAAATGTAAGAAATGCATAGGGCAAGGTATGGGAGGAGGTTTGTGCACAAAGCTTCCATGTCCTCGCTGGGTGTACCATCTCTCAACATCTTGATGGGTTCACCAACCCAGAAGCTCACCAAATCTCAATGTTTAAGAATTTTTGTAGAGCTAAATCTCCAGCCCTCCTCCCATCTCTCTTCCCCAGCGGTCAGGGGGTGGGGCTGAAAATCTGTAACCCCTGGTCTTTCTGAGGCTATCTAGGGACAGGACTCTAAGTAACCTCATTAACATAAACTCTGGTGTGATCAAAAAGGGCTCTTATGAATAATAAAAAAAAAACTTTGCTTAGGATATTGCAAGAGTTTTAGGAGCCTTCTGCCATAAAATAGGGACAAAGACCAAATATATTCCTTATTATATCACAGTGATGCTAGAAGAAACAGTAACCAAGAACACAGAGAGAGGTACAAGAGATGAATGAGAGAGCACCCTTCACCCAACACAGTCACCAAAATTAATCCCCTAACCTTCTCCGGAAGGAGCTAATTTGTGGGCCAATATCTGAGATTATAGGCCCCTTCTGAGGTTTTAAGCACCATCAGAATGTTCTATAGAGTTATTCTCAAACCTAGTGGATATAACCATGGAGAAAAGGGGAAAGCCAGAAAAAAAATGTCCAAGAGAAGGAGATACAGAGAACTACTTTCTTTGTTCTCCCCAAATCACTGTGACAAAGGATGTTTTCAGGTATAAGTTATAGCAAATCTGTGAACTGCTTAAACCATGAAGAAATTTATTATTTTAAGAAATTTGGGAGGAGGTACGTTCTGAGTCTGAACAAGAATTGAGTTTAATTTACTCCTTCCACTCCACCATTTATTGGTTTCTTCCAAGGGCTTCTTGAACATGACTACAAGATGGCTGCCCTTGCTTCAGATATCACAGCCACATAACCTCCCAAGCCAGAAGGATGAGGATGGGCAGAAAAATTGACTTCATTCACATGCCTCTCTCATTTTATAAAACAAAGAAATCTTTTGTAGAGTCTCTATGGGACCTCTTCTTACCTTTTATTGGCAGAACTGAGTGACAGAACCATCTCTAGTCCAATCCTTGGCAAAATAATAATAATAATAATAATGAGGTTTCCCTGATTGGCTGAGGATGGAGGTAAATTGTACCTGAATATAATGGACTTCACTTATGAAAGAATAAGGGTGGGAGGTATTATATAGCTATAGCCTCCACAGAAGTGCTCCCATGCTGGCTCATAGGGACATAGAGGTTAATCAGTCATGGGTTCTGCCCTGGAAATGTTGACCAGTTGGATGGAGAGATGAGAGTGCAGTGCTTAGAAAGGTGGAGTGGGGGTATATGTAGTGATGGAGTGATGCCTGGGTCATTATGGGATCCCCCAAAAGGAAGAGCCAACTGAGACTGACAGGGTCTAGGGTCACTTCCTGAAAGAGGTAACATCTAGGCTGAGTCTTAGAGCCTAAGGTAAAGAGGAGATAGAAAATTGCTTTGCAGGCAGAGGGGAGGGAAAATGCACAGGAAGGAGGCCAAGAAATAGGTTTCATTTGGTTGTTGGAGCAGAGATGGTGAGGCAGAGAGCAATAGGCAAGTCTGTAGAGGGTGGCAGGGCCATCTCTCAGAGGGTCTTGAATGCCACAAGAAGGACTTGGAATTTCTCCTTCAGAACATGAAAAGCCATTTAAGCAAGAGAGGGACTTGTCACGTGTGTGCTTCCGGGAAAAAAACCTGTCCTAATGTCCAGCAAAGGGATGGATTTGAGAATGTCCCAATTGGAGGCAGAGATCTTAGGGTGGAGAATGTTGCCAGAGATCCAGGTGAAGTTGTTGAAGAGCTACTCAGATTCCTAGACCCCTGATGTTGAGGGAGTTGAACTTTGGCATCCCACAGAGGATGGAGGTTGAGGAAAAGAATCCATACACACTTGAGTTTCTAAAAGGGCCCAGTCTACTCCCCAAATGCTGTTAAAACAAGTGCCATATGAGTGTATTCCTGTGGCCACTGAGAAGAACAGGAGGCCTGGTTTCCTGTTCCTCAATTGGTTTCAGCTCATTTATCCCTTTCCTGCCCTTTCGGGTATCTTCTGCTAAGACCATTAGTCCAGAGTCACTCTCCTCAGGAGACCAGGACTTGGAACCGTCCTGAGCAAGCCCACAGTCTGTGGAAAGTCCAGGTGAGAAATGCATCCCTGGGGGCTGGGGAGCTAGAGAAGGGTATGCTCCATAGCATGGTGGGGACAAAAGACTCTTTGGAGTGAGCTGTAGAGAAATGTAAGGTGAAGAAATGAGCACAGCAAACATACTCAACTCTGTCAGGAGGTGGTGCTGTGACAGAGAACCAAGGATTTGGTTGGGAACTAAAGAAGGATGTGGACTTGAAGGATAAATTTAAAAAGAAAAAGAAGAAGTTCTAGACCATATTGGGCTGCTACTGGGAGTGATGGAGTGGAGGGAAAATATTGATGCTGCAGGAGCGAGAAGGGATCAGTGAGGGAAGGAAGTTCTTGAGAAAGTGAGGGGGCCAGGATTCAGAGGACGACAGGGGACAGGTCTTGGGCAGAGCTGCTTGTTCTCTTGTCGGAGAGGCAAAGGCAGAGAGCGGTGGAGCAGGAGCAGACAGTAGGGTGGATTTGGTGGAGTGTGAGGCAAGGACATCAGCTGAGAGGGGATGGGAGAGGAGGTTCTGGGCCTTGAGGAGAAAGCAGAAGGAGCAAAATAATTATTAGGATCATGGGAAGATGAATGTAACAGGGAAGCGTAGATTTCCAGAGCAGTGGTGTGCCTCCACATGAAGAGACTGGTCCTGGATGTTCCTTGGGACCCATCAGCAGGGCTCAGCTCTACTCCCTCAAGAATTTCACCCTTAGACCTTAGGCCAGTCACTTACCCTCTTAAAGCCCAAGTTTCTTCTTCTGTCACAAGGTAATGATGATGCTTAGCCAATTCGGAGCTTGTTGAGATCAGAGTCAAAAAGGTAAGAATGTGTTACAGTGACTGCCACGTAGGTCACAGGTTGCAGACCACAGGTTTTCTCCCCCACCCTCAAACCTTGGTGGAGTCACAATTGCACAGCTTTTCCTCTCTGGTGTGTCCCCTCCTGTCATTGCAGAATCTTCCTGATTCATTGCATCAGTCTTTTCAAATGGTTGCCTTAAAGATTCTTGAGGACAAATAGCTCTCAGGGTGTCTCTGTGGTTGGATGGTGGGTGGCGTGGGAAAACCCCTCCAGGTTGTTTCTGAGACTGTAGAGCATCGAAGTTCCGGAGAAATGCGAACCACGCATGGACCTTCAAATTGTCTGACAGGCACTGTGAAAAAGTAAGAAGAAACAAGTAAAGTTCATCTTTATAAAATATCTTACTTAATCTTCCATAACTAAATTATTATCATTTCAATCTGTAGTCAATATAAAAATTATTACTGTGATATGTCACATTAGTTTTCTTATCCTAAGTCTTTGAGTTCTGATGAGTATTTTCCTCTTACGTCCCTTCCCAAATAGACCTAGCCGGATTTCAAGTTCCCCAAAGCCTGACATTGTGAGTGGCTGCTGTGTTAGACAGCTCAGCCGTGGAGGCAGGATGGCAGGGCAGGGGCAGAGAGACCTTTGCTGGAATCTGACAGCCTGAGCTGTTGGGTGACTTTAGGCAATTAACTTAAATGCTCTAAGTCTCAGTTTCCTCATCCGTAAAATGGGTATGATGATAATAATAATAATAATAAACTAACGTAACTCACTATGCACTGTGTGTCACTCACTGCCCCATGCTTTCTGGTATTTACATACTTCCTCCTCACGACAACCATTTAAGAAGGATGCTGCAAGGGTTAGAAGGGAAGAAAAGCTCTTTGCAAGAGCCTGGCTTGTGGTCTGCATACTGAATCTAATCAAATCTCACACCCAGCAGGCATTTAGACAGAACACTGTCATGTGCTTTTTCAACCCCAAGAGTACTGAGCCACCCAGTGGATGGAAAAGTGCGTCCTATTCATCTGGTGGAGATAACCACAGAGACAAGAGTGGAAATGGGGTCTCCTGCTCTGACTTCCTCAAGCACAGAATCCACAATGTGTGATTACTTGATTCCACCCTATCTGGTGTCACCCACTGATCCATTTTGCCTCACTTTGAAAACTAACCAGATATTGTCCCTGATCTCTCACAAAGGCAGAAGAAAAGAGGCTTTCGTGCCCCCTGAGAGAGAGGGGCAGAGTCTGGGCTGGAGAAGTTGTATACCTTGCAGCCCTCAGGAAGAGGGTCATAGGAGGAAGAAGCCCTTAGCCCACGACTGCCTGACAACGAGTCACGGAAGCTGTCTCCCATCAATTTTCTGATGTCCATACGCCGCCTTCTTCTTTTTCTTTATAAAAATTGTGATAAAACACACATAGCACAATATTTGCCATGTTAACCATTTTAAGCACATAATTCAGTGGCTTTAAGTACATTCACATTGCAGTGCAACC